TAGACTGTTAGGGTAGGTTTAGGGTTAGTAGAATAAGTTGACAATCGATTAATATAGAGTAGGGAACGAACGATTAACCGCGAGCCGGTTGAAAATCGATTCAAATATGTGACAATTCAAATCGGTTGAGATGCTAAACAAATCGCGATTCATTTAGGGGTAGGAGTTAATACGAATGCATGTCTGAGGGGAACTTACTGTATTTAGAAATGTTTAGATGGTATTTTTTCTTTTCATCTTGCCTCTGTATAATGCATATTAAAGTTCATAAGTGCAGCGCTGCTTTGTTTACAGCGGAAATCAAGGAAACGCTTTAAGCACCACCTGCTGGCAGAGAGTGAATCTACGTCTCATTCAGCTCGTCTGCTGTTTCAAGCAATCAAAACCAACAAAAGAGCAATAATATGCAAGTGCTATATTAGTATATTATTATAGTGTTATATTTCAATTTCACAAAGAAATGTGCAGCATTTTGTCCAAGCAATAATAAAAGGATACATTTAATTTATAATTGGTCTTAAATCTCATTTTGTAAAAAAATAATAATAACCGTGAATCGAATCGAACCGTGAAATCAAAATCGTGACTCGAATTGTGAGTTGAGTGAATCGTTACATCTCTAATATCGAGACATCGATATTTTTTACCCAGCCCTAATTCATTCGGTCTTAAAGGGACAGCAGCCTAATTAAATACCTGTCTGTCTCATTATGTTAATCAAACAACAAAAGATGTTAAATAAAGTATACATGTTAAACCTACTGTATTAGAAAAACAAGTTTATTTAATATTTAATGTGTATCTATTGTATTTTTCTTATGGTTTGTAATTTGCTTTATTTTTATATAAAAAATAACTATGTACGTGTGTGTATGTAGGTTATACATATTAATTTAGATATCATGAAATAAAATTTCTCATATCGTCCCCCCACCAACCCCCTGGAAATAGCTGCTAGGGGTGTTACAAATACGGCTGTCAAGTGAACCAACTTGCCTTAAAAGGACTTCGAGGTAAACTAAAGGTTTTTAAAAAAAATAAAAGGTTTGACCCTTCAATATGTCATACCCCAAACTTCAGGTTTAGGAAAAGAAGAAAAAAAAACCCATCAAACACATGAACAAAAACTGTGGGAAAACCTTGCATATAACGTATTTTTGTGTTATTGCAAGTAAATATATTTTAAAAGGTTAGAGAATGAGAGCACCAGAAAAACAGTGGAGTTAACGTAATGGAAATAGTTCAAATAAGAATTGTTTGTCATCAGTTTCAGAGGCTGGATTGCTGTGGAACCAGTTTGAAGCTGTTTAGGTTTCTTTACAGAGGACTAGACTAGCTCCCATATGAACAACAAACACTGACTTGTATCTCCTGATACAAGCCAAAATGTAATTAATAAACGTGGTCCTGTGTTTTCATGGGCTTTATTTTTATCGCTTTTATCGTTTTGTTGAGCAAGCACTATGTGAATCAGCACATCTGCTGTAAATATAGCATACTGTGAATGTCATAGGTTTTTTAAGTAGGGGTGCTATCATCACCAACCACGAAAACAGACAGTGAGACAGACAGTGTCTAAAGCTAGATCAAGTTGATGGTTTTATCCACACTATGAACAATACTTTGACTCATGTTAACATCAAGAAAATTGCTTGAAAACCATTTAAATCTGCGACAAAGTAGTTTCCTTTTTATACAAACCTAAAAGTGCACAAAATGTTTTTGTTTAGGTTTAGCTGGCTCTAATTCCAGTGGTTTTAAACGTTATGCTAACACCTATTGGCTAGGCTTGCCGCGATAGACGGTGCTGACGGTGATACCGGTGTTAAGCCGCAACACCGGTTACGTCACTTGCCCACCGCGTCATCGACCCCCACCGTCGTTTTGATTTTTTATAGTAATAAAAATAATTTAGTTCAGTATGTTTTATATATACGCTAAAGTGAGTTTGACGTTGTATTTTGTTGTTGCATTCAAGCAATTGACGCCTAACTGCCGCTAATTCTAAAGTGAAAGTAAAATGCGCACGGCGCTTTTAAGCTATTTAAAAGTGAAGGAAAGTGAGGAAAAGAGGGAAAATTCAAACAAACTAAAAACGAACAATTGCTTTACTCCGAATTTCCGCTATTTGTAAGTGAAAGTAAAATGCGCACGCCGCTTTTACAAGCTATTTAAAAGCGAAGGAAAGCGAGGAAAAGAGGGAACGCCCCCGCGGTGATACCGGTATTACCGGTGTTGTCACACGTCGATTAACCAATGGGAAAATTTCCTCACCGTCACAACCCTACTATTGGCCTGGATGTATGATGTTTGTTTTGTGCTTTTGCTATGCAAACAGCCTTGAGTATTGTCTGGAAGTGCTACATTAAGTTATTTTGCCATTATTGTGTTTATTAACTTTGTCAGTGCATGACGCAGTCGGTCACATTTTGTCAACATGTTTGGCTGAAGAGATTGGACTTTTCAGCTATTTCCACATAACCAGATGCTTTTAACCCAACATTTTCAGATCTACATTTACACAAAAACTGTTCACTACAGCAACACTTTACAATGTAACTGCTATTTATTATAATCTCTATATGTGACCCTGGACCACAAAACCAGTCATAAGGGTCAATTTTTTTAAATTGATGTATGGTTTGTTAGGATAGGACAATATTTGGCCGAGATAAAACTATTGAAAATCTGTAATCTGAGGGTGCAAAAAAAAACGAATATTGAGAAAGTCGCCTTTAAAGTTCTTAGCAATGCATATTACTAATCAACAATTAAGTTTTGATACATTTACGGTAGGAAATTTACAAAATATCTTCATGGAACATGATCTTTACTTAATATCCTAATGATTTTTGGCATAAAAGAAAAATCGATAATTTTGACCCATACTATTGATGGCTATTGCTACAAATATACCCATGCTACTTATGACTGGTTTTGTGGTCCAGGGTCACATATATAATCAGCTGTATTCAAGTAGACAGACAACTACCTCATCTAAACTCATTTCATGCCTACGGTCTTGTGTTCCCATGCACCAGAGACTAGGCGTGTGAAGCACTTAAAGTAATTTCTTTATTCATAGTATAAATCTTAAACATCTCTTCCTACTTTCACTTCCATTTACATTAATTAAAGACCAGACCAACAGCTTTCAAGCAAATGCCTCTAGCAACACTTTGCATTTCATACAGTAGAAAAACCCACATGATCATTTGGAAGATGCGAAAGCAGTCACACAAAGAAGGTACCCCAACACATTGAGATTAATGAGATCAAACTGGCCTCGATTATCTGACCTAAATCATCACTGTCTCTTTTTCATGTTAGGATAATTTACACATGTAAGGAATGACAATCTTCCTTCATTGTTATTACTTGGTATAGCGGGTGTGGAGAAGGTTTGACCCCAACACCAACACCTCCCCCACCTCCAACCTCAGAGTTTCATAACCGAGAGGACGGTGGGTGGGGGAGGGCAAATCTGACCGACATTTGCCACATTCTTACATAAAATGTAAACAATCTTAATGTAGAACACAGACATGCGCAATATCAACGTCCGGTGTCGTCGGTGAAACGCCTCATGACTCACTGCCAAGCAATGGATTCTCGCAGTTTTGTTTCAGATTACAAAGAAAAATTGACATTACGTAGAGTTTGAGTGACCAATATGTCATTGTTACCAAATGAGTGAACTGTCACAAACAAACAAAAAAATACTGTTTGAGCAAGTTAGTTCTTAACAAAGAATTTTTCCACCGCTGACCTTCCAGAAAAATGCCAGTGCTTGAATAAAAACATCTTACCTTTCAACGAGGTCTCCACCAACCTCAAATACTGCTTTGAACGCTTATTGCCATGGCTCATTTTCTGGGCCATCCCGTTCCTTTGGAGTACACACTCCTCCAACTGCACCACATTCGCATGGCGTTTCTCCAGACTGGTCAAAGCCCAAAACTCCGCCAGCGCCAGCTCCACATTCTCGGGCGCGTCACAGCGCAGCTTCTTCACCGCCACTCTCGCACCTGATTTACGGGCAATGGCTTCATACACAACGCCATAACTGCCCCTGCCAACTTCACGGAGCAAACTGTACCGCGGTGCAAAGAGTCGCCGTTCAAGACTGCAATGTTTAACCAGGTCCAACTCGTCTGCCATTGTCTCATAATCGTCTACGCTGAGAGAGCGCAGGACACTGGCGCTTTCGGTTCTTTTGCAAGCGTTCCGTGTCCGTTGCCGCTCTCTGTCCTTTGCATCCATCGCGCCTCCTCACGTTTTGTGCGTGCGTTTGGAAACACCTTCCGCGTTCATATTCCTCTAGAGCTTGAGGAAGTTCAGCAGCGCTTACATATTCGTTGACATCTGCATTTGTTTTCATTCAGTAGGGTCTCGTGATTCAATTAACGTCGAGCTTCTAGTCTGAATGAACCTTGAATGAAGTGAGAACTTGACTGGATCATCCCACTTTCCCTTACAGGGGGATTCCTGACATTATGAGGACACACCATAGGGACACACGTACACAGTAAACGCCTCTTGTGACCTTAAGTTATGTTAAATTAGTGGTGTTAAAATGGTGAGGTGAACCAAATATGAGAAATGAACTTCTTGTGTAATCATGTTTTTAAATAAAAATAACTTTTTTTATGCTTTATCTGTATTTGTTAGTTTCATGCATTCAGAAATGTACGAACGTTACCATTTACACACGTGAATATAAAATCATTGTTTTAAAAACAAAAACAAAGTTTTCAAGCATATTTGAACGGTTTATTTGTTTATTTCAAATATCATGATTCTTTGAGTCATGAATATCAATAAGCTGACCTGAACACCAACAGACAATCAATAACATATAATGACAATAAATATTACATGAATTAATTTACATTTAGAAATTAAAAACACATTCATCATAAAATTTAACACAACTTGTAAAAGAGTTGCACTTTTTATGTATTTTGAATATAAAGGGAAAATGCGTCATCTCATTGACCTTTACACTTCTAGTGATACTCAGCATGGGCTACAACTGTAATAAATTTATAGTTATTTTCCCATCACAACTTGCTCATGTAATGGCAACAAGGATCAGCTATGTCACTTTGGAAAACCTATAAATACATGTACATACCTAGACTATTGTCACCCATGTTGTGGACTAGAATGGTTTAGCCCCTCCAGCATGAGCGTGCATGTGCTCTATAAAGCTCAGCGCACACACGTGGTCTGACACGACGGAGAGCATCTGGGGTTTTTGAGGTTGACCATCAGTAGAGCATAAATAAGAAATTTAGTCAATTTAATATTATTTAATATTGTCATTATTTATTTTTTCCACCGTTCTATCCGTCTGATTCATATAAACATTAAAATTAGTTTTTAATTTATATTTTATATTTAACCATAAATAAAAAAAAGTGTTCATTAAAAATGTGTGAATAGTGAGGGAGAATCAGTACACAACCAACATCATCTGGACCACAGCTTTTCAAAGTTTATAATTTTATTGATTTTGTTTTTATTATTATTCTTTGCTGGTTATTACAAGAGGGTAAGCTTTGCAGAGATAATACATCAACATTCAAATATTAATGGACCGGATTTAAATGGATTACATAAGATGACAGCTGTTACTGCTCACTATCTCCCTTTAGAATAAACAAGCAACACTGTCTGTCTCACTGTCATTTTGATTTTCAGTAATAAATTCTGCAAACATTTGTATAGTTAGGTATTTATATTCACCTGCACATAACAGTGATTTGATTAAAAAAGAAAAAAGAAAGACCATCCTTAAACAAACCTCAAAAATGACCTCAATTGTCATCATTTATCCACATTCACATACAGGCATGAGGGCATGTCTGAAAATGCTGCCAACATCAATGGCTCACTGCTTACATGGGTCAATGTTTTGTTTGTCTCCATACAGTGAGCAAAATATGAAACTGCACTTTGTATGGGCTAGCTAGCTAAACAAAGCTTTTGGCAGTTCTGATTAAAACTTGCAGCTTGCCTCTAAGGAGAATGCATGTTTTTCACTAAATGTTTTCATTTAAAAATGGTGTTTTTCAAACATTTTTTATTTGCAACAATTATAGGCTACAGATAATATAACGTAGGTTCCTGACCAGCTGGCATGCCTTATTGTTGATCCCTGATCTCACCACACCAAACCCTTTCTGAAGAAGAGGCAGAGAGTAGTAGGAATCTGAAACCACTCTAAGTTCGTCGGCCTTGGGAAAGCTAGCATGCCTCCGACATAGTGATAACACTCGTTGCCTTCTCTAATGCAGCTCAACGAGGTCTCATCCCATTCATCGATAGTTGTGATATCACAAATCCCGGAAAATATGCGTTGTAGTAATGTAAAGCCTGTACAAATATTAGAAATCGTGAATATAAATAATTGGGAATCATGTAAAGAATTAAAATAAAATAAAAACAGTGCACATTTCATTTATCTATTATAACCTTTACGTAGTTTTGTTCGTTGGCTGTTTCCTTATAAAAGTCAAAAAATTTGTAAAGTTTTTCGTCAGGTGTCTTTTTTAATTATATGATGTCATTACGTTGCTGTATTGCCGCCAGCCAATCGCTGCTCTGCTGATCGTGGTTTCGAGTATCAATATACATGGCCCCTTTTAAAGCAACCCATGAACGCGCAATTATCTCAGATAACTCACTCCAGCCATACTATTCATCAACAACAGGTGCGTTCGAAGAATCGAATTAACCCGATGATATCATCTTGGATGTGACAATAAGCGACGTACGAAGAACGGGCCCCAGTACAGTGAATATCCACACCGGTGTGGTGACTGACAGCCACACATTCACCTCAAAACATTAGATTCATCTTAATACAAACATATATATACAATTATATTATGTAGCTTGTGTGAATACACAAGTAAAGAAAGTCTGAAACAGTCCCTCCCACCCACCCTTTTTTTATTTCAATATAATGTGATATTTCAATGCTATATTTCTTAGACACATACACACAGGATGAGATTTGTTTCTTCTTTGAAGTTACAATCCATTCATGCTCTCCTAAATCTCATTCTAATTTAGATATTCATTCTCTGTGTTGTGAAATCCAATACATTTTCAAAACCTTAACTGCACCCCTCTAATCAGCCTAGCTGAAATGAATTCCTGTGATGGGTTCCTTTTTTCCTGCTGTGGGAAGGTAGAGGCAGGTGAGCTTACAAGCCTTATGGTTGCTATGGCAACCTCTCATCACCCTAAGAACGCTGTTGTCGTAATCAGCAAGTCCATCAAATGAGGGAAAGCGGTCACATTGAGGTTTGCATGGAAACGCCAAACACCAAAGCACACGGGTGTCCCATAACAAAACAAAATGTAACAAAAACAATATTAGATGTCTTAATTCAATTAAAGATTCAAAGCTTTAATGTAATAGTTTACCCAAAAATGAAAATATGCTGAAACCCTCAGGCCATCCACGATGTACAGTAGATGAATTTGTTACTTCATCGTAACAGATTTGTGGAAATTTATGGTTACATCACTTCTTCACCAGCAGATCCTCTGCAGTGAATGGGTGCCATCAGAATTCTAAGTTCGTCGGCCTTGGGAAAGCTAGCATGCCTCCGACATAGTGATAACACTCGTTGCCTTCTCTAATGCAGCTCAACGAGGTCTCATCCCATTCATCGATAGTTGTGATATCACAAATCCCGGAAAATATGCGTTGTAGTAATGTAAAGCCTGTACAAATATTAGAAATCGTGAATATAAATAATTGGGAATCATGTAAAGAATTAAAATAAAATAAAAACAGTGCACATTTCATTTATCTATTATAACATTTATGTAGTTTTGTTCGTTGGCTGTTTCCTTATAAAAGTCAAAAAATTTGTAAAGTTTTTCGTCAGGTGTCTTTTTTAATTATATGATGTCATTACGTTGCTGTATTGCCGCCAGCCAATCGCTGCTCTGCTGATCGTGGTTTCGAGTATCAATATACATGGCCCCTTTTAAAGCAACCCATGAACGCGCAATTATCTCAGATAACTCACTCCAGCCATACTATTCATCAACAACAGGTGCGTTCGAAGAATCGAATTAACCCGATGATATCATCTTGGATGTGAAAATAAGCGACGTACGAAGAACGGGCCCCAGTACAGTGAATATCCACACCGGTGTGGTGACTGACAGCCACACATTCACCTCAAAACATTAGATTCATCCGCACTGGAGCCGTGCCGACGCACAACCCACGCAAGGAAGATAATTGCGCAAATAACTGCAATTGCGGGTTTTCAAACAGAGATGGCGACAAAGAGGCAAAACTTACGGACTGCAGCTTTAACTGTAGAAGCTGATAAATACATATGATTCAGCCAATACAGACTTGCTGCTGTAGTTTTGTCACTCTGAATTTAGTCTGAATCACCAGGTCTATTTTTGACATTGGCTTGTCAGATAGTTCGTTCTGTCCACTGCTACAGTTATCACTGTCAATCAATACAATGACCCACGGAACAATTTAGCGGAACTCGCGTAATTTTTTACACTCGCGTTTGTCATTCCTGAAAACCGAATACGGTCAGTATACAGTATGGTCCTCTTAGACAAACAAATCTTTTCATTGTGAATGGCCTGTGTAGAGAAATGGTGCTCCCCAAGTCAGCAAAGCTGATTTTGACAGTTGACCGGAAATGACTGAGCTGGCTTATCTAAAACCAGGAAGTAACCGTGACTATAAAAGTCAAAGTTAACAATGGAATGAAAGAAAACGTGATTAAAGAAAGAAATGCATTGTCTTTTAAGTAAGTCAGTGGGAATAAGCCAGGGATAATAATGAGTAAAAGAGTGACAAGAGACTAAGTTACACTGCTTAGTCTCTTGCACCACCTACTGTTGTAGTTTTAAATTACATCGTTAAAACTTCAGTTGCATATTATGTATTTAGTCTAAATAAAATGTAATTACATTTTAAATGTAAACTAAAATAAGTAAAAAGTATGAATACATTTTTCACTTTCAGAAATAAGGGTACAAAACTGTCACTAGTCAGGTACCCTTTAAGTACTAATGTACTTTTAAAGTGCGTCTATCCACCTTTCAGGTACTAATATGTACCATTTAGGGATAAATACGGTACGCTTTTATCTTTTTGGTACCTTAGGATACCACCCCAGTAAGAGTTTTGTACCGGTTTTTCTTAGTGTGGCTAGTTTGTGACTAAATTTTGTAAAATAAATATTTCTATATAACTCACTATTAATGAAAAGGTTGTCAAATATAACGTCGTATGATTTAATGGTTGGATACAGTCGAGATTTTATATATATAAAATGTAACAAAAACAATATTAGATGTCTTAATTCAATTAAAGATTCAAAGCTTTAATGTAATAGTTTACCCAAAAATGAAAATATGCTGAAACCCTCAGGCCATCCACGATGTACAGTAGATGAATTTGTTACTTCATCGTAACAGATTTGTGGAAATTTATGGTT